AAAAAAAACATAACAAGACTGCATTCATTGTGGGTAGTTGGTACACATACATAATGCATGCATCTTAAATCTTTTATATCCCTCCCCTCTTGGTCTCTATGTCTCCTTTTTATTTGCAAAACGATGTTTCTTTTCATTAATCTCTTATTTTTTTCCTTCTTTGGACTTTGGGTGACTCAGATGACTCAGATGAGAGAAACCATGCAGTGTTTAAGTTTGCCTTTATTCTGTAGCCACTGTGGGTCATTGCTGGCTGTGGAATCTATAGGCAGCATACAGTGGTCCCCACAGTCAGTTCACAGTGAGAAAGCCCAGATCAGTGCTTCTTTGCCTTGTGCCTGATTTGTAGGGAGAGGGTGGAAGGAGCAGGAAAGAGGTGTGGAGGCCTGTATGATTTCTTCTAGAATATTCTTGTTGTTTATAAATCCCATCTGATTACACATAATATGGCTGTTTTCAGTGTTCTGCCCAAAATAATTATTAGGTTCTTTTTTTTTTTTTTTTTTCTTTTAGAAACAGGGTTTTGCTATGCAGTTTAGGCTGGCCTTGAACTCACTTTGTAGCCCAGGCTTGTCTCAAACTCACAGAGATCCTCTTGCCTCAGCCTCCTAGGTGCTGGGGTTACAAGCATGCGCCACCACACCTGCTAACTATTAGGCTCTTTAAGTATGAAATCAAGATGTTATTCAACTGAGAAAAAAATGTTCTTTTACTATTTCTTGCTCATTCTTTTTATACATGTTCTCTATACACCTTCTGGACCTCCTGTGATATGGAAATTCCTTGTCCTCAATTCTCTTGCTTGCTCCTGCTGTCTATTTCACTGATCCTAGGCACGGACCCTGGGCTTGGTTGGGGCATAGCGTTCGGCTGCTGTGTTGTTTTGCCATGGCTCTGATGACCGTAAGTGTCCTTTTGTTGTCTGCTGCCCTTTCTCAGGGTACCTGTTTCTTCTCTGCACCGTCTTCCTGATGGTCACTCTGACCTTTGAGATACAAATAAAATGTTGAATCCTAAGGCCTGTTCCTGGTGGGAGGTGTCATGTCCCCCTAACTCACTCTTCTCTTTTTGATTTCAAGGGGTCTTGCACTTCTGGGCCTGTCTTGGTCCGATTTTCTTTGGTGACCTCCTGATCGTACCCTAGGCCCAGACCCAGAGCCCCTCTCTCTCCTTTGTTCTCCCTGAATGCATTAGGACCACTCACCTTTGGGCACTTGCTGAAGGCCTGAGGTAGGGGTGAGGGCCTCGCGGACTCCGGAGAGAATCTAGGTGTTGTTGAAAGTCCTCTGCCGGCCCAGTCACTCAGGACTGACTGGCACTCGGCCCCTTTCTCAACAGGGCGCCCTCTCCCGCCATCTCTTCTCTGCCTTTCTTGCATCCTGTTGGCTCTCAGAGAGAACTTCCTTTACTTGGATTCTAAAGTCTTCTTTGTTTCTCTGTCGATAGTTAAGTCAGATAAGTGTGGCCAGACCTGCTCTTCTGAGAGTTCAGATTCCCGCTATTAAATGACATTTTTAAATGCCCGATACACTAACCTAAAAAAATTGTTGACAATTCTCCGTTTCCTGTATGAGTCTGTGGGAGAGACGGCCTTCCTCTGGGGTTCGGCAAGCTAATCCTCCTGGTAACAAGCTTCCCTCCCATTCCCAGCATGCCTCACACAGAAGAGAAAACAGACTGCTCTCATTTCAGGGCAGATATAAGGGTTCAGCTGATGTGGGTTCCCTCAGCTATCACACAGGTCTGCGTTCACTTCCTTCGTGTGGTTTCCTGCTTCCTTTTTGAATGTGAAATTTATGTAGAATTTATTAACCATTTAATAAAAATGGAATTTCTAGCAATAAAATACGGACTCTGGAGAGTGCTGTTCCAATAGGAGCTCTTGATCATACCCTGATGCTTGTATCACCCATAGCCAGGAGGAGATGGCAGGTTCATTACTGTTTGCCTTTGTTTACCTGATTTGGATTCACTTTTGTGATGCATCTAGTCCTCATACCTTACCTCTGAGTGCTGGTTCACTTGGATTGTCCACAGGATTGCATCAGGGTAAATAAAGCAATCATGAAAATTCATCGTGAGTATACAGTGGGTCAAAGTTCAGTTCACTAATTACACACTAAAAATGTGACAAAATGCTACATGCAAAATGCTTGTGATATTATAACAAGAACTTTTAAATTTGCTGGTGGGAGTGTAAAGAAGTATAGCCCCTTTGGAAAACTGGTTGACAATACCTTTCAGAGCTGAATGTGCATATGCCATTTGATCCAGAAATTCTACCCTGGGTATATTTCCAACATAAATGAGTGCTTTGTGTACAAAAATTCACATATAAAGATGTTCATTATATTTATATATAATATAGTGTAATGTATAATATATATATATATATATATATATATATATATATAATATTCCAAAGCAAATATCTAGCAACTGTGGAACAGAAAAATAAAGTATACATTTACAAAACAGATTACTATATGGCAATGAAAAAGAACAAACCACTGCTGTGTACAGCAGTGTAGATGAATCCTATAGTCATAATGGGAGAAAGAGGTCAGATAGGAAAGTGTATGATTCTATGACTGCATTTATGCAAAATTCAAGGGTAGGCCTGATTAACCTGCAGTAAAGGTTAGAAGACTGGCTACCATTTGGATAGTTAAGTTTGCTGGAGCCCTAGAAATATTCTGTATCTTTATGTGGGAGGTGGCTGGGTGTATGTATACCTGTAAGAGATCATAGAACTATAGATCCAAAATAAGTGAACCTTACTATATGTAAATTTTATCTCAATTTAAAAGATCATGTGATGCTCCCTGGCAAGAGGGAAGGAAGATTTTGAAAGATCTTCATGATTTGGAGAAGAAAGGAATACTTTAGGGGCCAAGCATCACCTAGAAGAATTGCTTTACATTGAAATCCTTTCCTCTGTCCTCCTGTTAATAGACATTCCTCCAATTACGGTAAAGATAGGTTTTAACGCCCCTCTGCCTTTTTACTGGAGATCGGCCCCAAGCTGTTTCCTTTTTGAGCACTGTGGTAAACACAAGTCCAAAGGCACATCTGCAGTGCTTACAATCTAATTAGAGAAGCAGTCTAATTAGAGAGACAAGACCTACAATCTAACTGGAGACTTGTAATCTAATTAGAAACTTCTAATCCTACTAGAGAAACAAGACTAATATAAATTAAGTGTTTAGAGAACTTAGTATTCTGCTCATTATTTTTAAAGTGCAAGTTTGGAGCTTCAGAATTTCCCAGGGATTCAGGAGAAGAGAAAGCTCAAGTAGAACCGGAGTCCTAATTGTGTTTAATGAAGGGGGAACCCTTGAGACAAACCCAGATGGACACACACAAGAGGTCAGTTCATGAACACACTGGATATTAGGCAGGTCTGTCCTCTATGGCACCTATTGAAAGACCCATATGAGACCTCCTTGCAAGGAGCTCAAAGCATCCAGAAGACAGGATATTTGTCAATCAAGTCAAGTGGAATGACAGCATCCTCAGGCAATCCAGGCTTGGATTTTAAGAGCACGCTAATCTGAGCTGGTGGCTGGGAAGACAGAAACACCTATAATGAGAGAAGTGTGGGGAATTTGAAGTGAAGCCAGAAAGAAGCGCTACACTCCAGAGACAGAGATTTTCATTTTATAATGAAGCAATTATTATTCACGCACTTAAAATTGTGTCTTCATAACAAGCCTGCTTTCTTTCAGAAGAGAAGGGTACAAAACGTCAGGGGAGTGAATTAAGTCCTTGCTTTCTCCTCTTAGGTCATGTTTCTGTGTCTGCAAAATTCTTGGGTACACACACACACACACACACACACACACACAGAGTTCATACCTCCTGTTGGCAGAGAATCCAGAGTTTATTTAAAGTTCACCATCAGCTTTCAAGGTTCTGATAGGTGGAGCCAGGAGGGGAATAGGAAGGCTGGCAGATAAGTCAAGACAGCTATCACCCACGCCAACCACTCAGTGTTTCTGGCACCCAAAGTCTAAACCCCTTGCTTTTCTCTTGCCTACTGAACTTCTGTAATTGCTTTCATAAAGGCTTTCTGGCTACAAGAAAATCGCGTCAAAGTTGTTATCAGGCAAATTGAAATTTCCAGGCTGCATCCAGGCTAGAAGTTCTACACATCATTGGAAAGATTTCAGCTGTATCCACTGTGCCTGGGAGCTGCTTTCTGTGCTGTTTGGCTCTTTCCCACCTGGAATGGAACAACGGTATGGTTTCACTGTTTTGCTGTTGGATTTAGAATCTGTATTTTCAGTGGTTAATCATGATTTCTGGGACTAGGTAAAAGAACTAGGAGCTGCTGGTGGAAGATGGGATGGGGCGCATGATGTTACAACAATTTTGCAACTCAGCTTGATATTTCGGGAGAGAGCTTGCACCACGCTGCTCCTTGCTTGCCCTGAGCATTCTGCCACCTGCAGCCTGCTCTCTCTGACCCATGACTTAGTCAACCCCTCACCAGTCACATGCAGCTCTTTTGTCATACACTTCCCTAATTTTTATTGTGGACAGCAGATCTTCGCTTTTGAATGTTTCCTTCTGTTCACATGAAAGCAGTACTTACTGCTTTCCTCAGGGCTCAGAAAGCCTTCAGAGCAAGACAGCTCCCTAAGGATACAGCTAAAGGGACTTGAAGGACTCAGGAGGTGTAGGCTTGAAGCGTGCTCTGGACTGAGAGGTCATGGCTCAAACGTGCAGGCACTTTTAAAGCATCCATCAATGACAGATGTTTGCTTCATGGTGTCTTAGTTCCCCCACTGCTGGGCAAAATACCAGGCACCCACAATTTAATAAAAGAGGGGTTATTGTGGTTCAAATATCAGTCCGCAGTTGGTTGGCTCCAAGTCAGGATGGCTTGGTATACGGGTGGGAGAGGGAGATAAACCCTTCAGGCTGTGCCCACAGTGAACCTCCTCTTCTGGCCAGACTCCACTTCCAAACAGCAAGTCAGCTCTAAGCCCCCATAATCCAATTCCCCTCCAAAAGCCTCACTTATGAGCACATGAGGCTCTTGAGGGACACCTAGGTATAAACCACAATAATGAGGAAATATCAACTTCCATACAAAAAAAAAAAAAACATTCAGGCCATTACTTAGTCTTGAATTGGGGGTGCTTTCTGTAGTACTTGTTACTTTTAAAATGTCAGTGTAACATTTTGCCGAGTTCTAGTTCCCAAGTAAACATGAAGGTATTGTACAGATATCCTAAGAATGGTGGCATGTTTACACCCCAGGTCACTTAAAAAGAGTTTTGTAAGAACTGCTGTTGGGGGTCTTTAACTGCACTGCTCATTGATTCTGTAGCTTATATTGTCTGGACTTCTCATGTACGCTAGGTTGGGGTGCATAGGGCAAATACATGCACACATGATTCCTTCTCCTGTGAGACCTGTGTTTTCTAGGGAGCAGACATCTGTCATTCTCATTATTAAAAGGAAATTGCAACTTTGAAAGCCATATGAAGGAGAAGGACTTGGTACCCTGGGAGCAGAGCACCCTTGTAGTGGGACCAGACTTTTTCCAGGAGATCAGGAAAAGATTCCCAGCAAATGATAGAATGAAGCTCTAAAGAACAAGGAGAATGGAGCCCAGGAAGCAGAGATCACAGAAGGACATTCTGGGGACAGTGCTGTACTTTGAGGAAATGAAAGAAGGACAGATGTTGTTTGGAGGAAGTACAGGGTTCAAAATGAGCTGGGGGAGAGATTAGGGACTGTGATATTAACATATGTATATTTTGGTTTCGTCCACTGTTCCTGGTTCTAAACAGAATTCTCTGACTTCCCTTATCTGTGAGTATATTACAGACACTGTTGCAGAAGGGGTCCTGTCCCATACCTAGGAAGGAAAAAAAAAAAAAATCCACCAAATAAAACAAAATGCTATACAAAAAGGCTGAAAAGAATCTGGACAGAGTAGCCTTTGCTGGGTTTCCCCACTAGCATTAGCTTACACACTTTTTGTTCAACTAGATTTGACGTGGGTGTCCACACTTCAGTCATGCAAATTCAATAAAGTCTCCATAAAACCCCAAAGATCTAGGCTCAGGGAGTTTCCTGGCAGCTGAGCACATGAGGGCTTCTGGAGAGTGCACCCCAAGATAGCAGGGCAGCTTCATGCCTCTTCTGCGCCTTGCCCTGTGTACCCTCACCTGGACCCTTTCAATGTCCTGCATAATAAATCAGTAAGATGTAAAGCTTTCTCTGAATTCTATGAGCTGCTTAAGCAAATTAATTTGAACCTGAAAAAGGGATTTGGAGGACTTTAATTTATAGACAGTTGGTCAGAAGCTTGAATAAAAGGAGCTGGGCTTGCAACTAGCATCTGAAACGTGTGTGGTGGTGCAGTCTTGGGGAGTGACCCCCAATTTGGTGCATCTGGCACCATCTCCAGATAGACAGCTTCTGAAGTCAACTGGCTTAGTGAACTGGACACCCGCCTCTATTGCAGAATTGACTGCTTGTGAAGACAATAGGATAACGTTTAAAAATGTGAGCCGAAACAAATCTTTCTTCCTTTAAGTTGATTATCTCAGACATTTGTCCACTGCAGTGGAAACTAACACAAGGGTCACAGCCAACATTCCTATACCAGGAGACAGGTTAACAAGGGGTGCCCATAACAAATTTATTTCCTTATGGTATTGTGTGACATGGGAGCTAAGACTCAGGATGAGAACTACCCAGTGTTATGTTAGGCTCAATGATGCAAGATCAAAGATATAGACATGAGGCTGGACAAGAGAATATCCCCAGCAGCAGCAGACTGGTTAGACACAGCCAAGTCTAGCTGTCAATATACACCTTGGCCTCTGTGTTGTATTTCTCGCTGCTGAATGTGGGGCAAAGGCTGCTTCTGAAATGGAGTCTTGTGATCTACAGTAAGACAAAGTCATTCTGAGAATTTTTTTCTCTCTGGTTGTTATTTGGATTTGTAGTGTTTGTTTGTTCTACACTTAATCTTAGCCAAAAGGCCAAGAAGTAATTGTTCCATTGTTCTGGTTTTTTTTAAACAAATACAAAGGAAAAATTCCACTTCAAAAAAAACCTAACAGTTCAAGAAAGACCTATCAACTGCATTCCAGACATTCAAAACTATCTTACAATTTAAATTTCAATGGTAGAAACAGTAGGTTTTAAACTTGTTTTGTGAGCAGTATCAAAAGAAAAGTTCTATTAACACCTTTTATTCAGCTTTTAACCATATCAGTGAGAATAGCATTTTTTCAAATTTCCCATAAGACCATTTTTCTACATTCAAAGGCAGTCATTACTTTTTTTTTTTTTTGTATGTGTGTGTGTTTGAGACAGGGTCTGGCTATGCAGTTCAGGTTGGCCTTGAGCTCACTTTGTAGCCCAGGCTGGTTTCAAACTTGCAATGATCCTCCTGCCTCAGCTCCTGAATGCTGGGATTACAGGTGTGCACCACCATGCCCAGCAATTACTTTTATTTTTTCTTTACTTTAAAGAGAGTACTAAATGAGAAACAAACAAACAAAAAATAGAACAGTAGCAGCATACCAGTATCACAAACATAAACAAATCAAAGCAAGAACATTCAAAGTGATACAGAATCTCAAGACAAAATAATACGAATCAACAGTGATTGTTACATTGCATATAGCTGTCTTCAACTACATTGCTCAGACTACCAGATGTAAGAATGAAAGACTGTTTAAACCATATAGGGAATAAGAAAATAATTCTTCGATAAAACAGTAGAGATAATACAGAGTTTCACTAGACAAGATGGTAGTAGTTCACCATTGTAATTCCATTGCATATTGTTACCTTCAAATTAGTTGCTCAGACCACCAGACACAAGCATGCACAATCCGTCAGAACATGAAAAATTGTAATCATTAACTGTTCATTTCAATACACCATCCGATATCAGCAATACAGTTATCGCAGCTATTCATGTATATATTTATATATTGCGTTCCTTCTTTCTTTTTTCTTCTTTCCCTCATCCCAGAATTACTTTTAAAGAAGAGACAATTTGGGTTTTTTTCCTGCCTCTAAAATGTTTATTGAAATACATAGAAAGTAAGCAAGAAATACGTCAGTGAATGAAACACACCAAATGTCAGTAATAAGTGAGATGCATTCATTTGGGGAAATGGCTGTCTAAAAAAAATTCCCCCCGTATATGCAAAGTAAGCAAGGAAATTTCAATCTCTTTTTCTTCTTCTTTTTAAAAAATCTGTTACTACTAAAATTACTTTCCACAAAATTGGAAGTGAAGCACTGAAAGGCCAAGAGAGAGAGAGAAAAGGAAGGAGCACACACCATTAACACAAAAAGAGTAAAATTGTACAAACTGAAGCAGTTTATAACAAACTGGGGCATACTTCAAGACACCAATGGATGACTAAAGAAATTCACTATCTGCAGGAGCTGGAGTTACAGGCAAAGATCAGTGAGGAGCAATTCACTGCCTTGAAGCATCCCCCTTCCTACTCCAAATCCTGGCTTCTGCACCGTTCATCCAGGGGAGGCTGCCCAGGTGCACCAGGGTGGTCATCTCATCAGTCCCCTTCCCTGGCCACTCGAGTCTTTTCTTCCACATTCAGAGAGGCTTCACCTCTAAACATGATGGGCCTGTTGCTAAGCACCTTCTATTCAGCCTCAGAATCATCTAACATTACAAAACCAAAATTAGATAACTTCCCACCTCAGCTTATGTGCGTGCTGCTCCATCACATTTCCAGAATCTTTGTGTTCTGATTTTCCCAGCTCACGAGGCAAGTTACCAACATAGAGTTGGTGGTTGTCAGGATGTGTCACTGTTCTTCGGGGTTCACCATCACCTTGCTCCCCTGCCTTGTGGATTGGTCTGGGGAAGAATTTTTTTTCACTGTTCTCAAACTCTTTGATCCATGTAAGGCCTCTGCATGGAAGCTGAGATTTAGGCTTAGACTCTGGATGGGGCTGTGAAGCTGGTACTTGAGCAATGTGAGGAGGGATCCCTGAAATGGGAATAATTCCACTAGGAGGAAAGCTCTTACCAGTTACAGATGCCCAAGAAAATGTCTTCATGTACTGTCTATAGGAGCTGGAGAACTCTTTTGAGCATACCAGCCCAGACTTTTCCTCTTGGATTTCAGATACAAGCCCTTGCTGTGGTTCTGGCTCTGTTTCAGCAGTGTGTTCCTCTAAATGTTCTTTCAAGTCATTGCTGACAGTTTGAACATAGAAAGTTCCA